GATCGGCACCGGGGGGTGGGCGGGGCCGTGTGAGCATCTCTGGGGTGCAGGAGCGCCTGACCCCTGGGTCTTCTAGGAGCCCGCCCGGGACGCCTGGGTTGTATATGGGTGTGAGCCCTCACCGAACGCCCGCCCCTTCCCCCACGCCCGGGTTCTCTGCCACAGCGCCCCGGGCGCCTGGGTTCTCTGCCTGTAAGTGTCTGGGTTCTTCTGTATGGGTGGCAGTGCCCAGACGCCTGGGTTCTCTGAGAGCGCCTGGGACGCCTGGGTTCCGCACGTGTGTCGGGGGCGGGGGTTTGAGACCCTGCCTCTAGGGCATCCCGGAGTACCGCGCGTGTGAGTGCGGTGGTCCCTTCCCCGCACTCCCGACCCGCAGCACCCTATGGCGACGCGGTGCCCCTCAATCCTGACGTGCAGTCCCCCTCCTACATCCCTGCGGTGCCCCTCACTTCCGACCCGCAGCCTCTGTCTCTTTCATCCCGGTTCTCTGCGAATTTCCAGGGAAACGGGACTCTCCAAATAAGGGGAAAATATGAAGGCAGGTCCCAGCGGGGCGGGGCGGTCCCGGCGGGGCGACCGCGCCCAGGGTCTTGCACCGGGGACTGCAGGCCGGGAGTGAGGGGCAACGTGGGGTGATGGGCAGGGCTGCAGGTCGGGAGTGAGGGGCACCTCAGGGCTACGGCGGGAGGGAAGCCCCCTCCCCCAGACGCCTGGGTTCACTCCCCAGCTACAAGGCGGGGACTGGCTGACAGACACGTACCGGCGTCGGCCGCCAGGGGGCGCCTCCGGCAGAATTCGAAGCCCCCAGGCCGGGGGTCACACAGCTAACTCCTCGGAAGGGGGAAGGGGGCTGGAGAATGGGGGCGGGGAGGTGCCTTCGCCGAAGCGGCACTGGAAGGGTTAACCCGCCTCGCTCTGGGGGGTTTCAACCAAGGAGGGTAATCCAGGACCCTCCCAGGGCTGGATCCCCACACCCCCAGGGGAGCCCACCTCCCTCCCCCTCTTCCGGACGTCTGGGTTTATTCCCTGCCTCACGCGCACCTCTTCTCTTCGCAGGTCTCTGCGCGTTTAAATCCGTGGGCCACAGCCAGGCACCCTGGCCCCGGCCCTTTATTTGCATCGCCCAGCCCATCCGCGCCTTTATCTGCATAGGCGACTCATCAGCATCTGACTCTCCAACCTTGACATCTCCGCCTTATGGCTCCACCCTCTGCTTAGTCGGCCCGTCCTTCATTTGCATAGCCCCGCCTCCGCCCCGGAGTCCCGTTCCTTTATTAGCATAACCCCGCCTCTCCTCGACACCCCCAATCCCTTTCCTTGCCTCTCTCCCATCTCCAGTCCATTCTTTTATTTTGCATAACTCCGCCTCCAAGCCCACCCTCCCACTCCTTTCTCCGCCTCTCATCCGTTATTTGCATAACCCCACCTCCCTCTCACCCTGCCTCCTGTCTCATCCAGTTATTTGCATAACTCTGCTCACGATCCATTCTTCCACCCTTCCCGCTTGGAGAATCACTCCGCTTGCCCCCCTCTCCCCATTGTTTGCATAACCCCGCCCCTTACCTCCCAGGCCCCGCCCTCCCTTTTTAAAACATGAGCGGCGCTACTGGGCGCTCCGCTACAGCGGGTTCGAATCCGGGTGGGAGTTCGTCGGGGACCGGGACCGGGGCAGCGGGGCCGGATCCCGAGATGCCGGCGACTGAGAAGGACCTGGCGGAGGACGCACCATGGAAGAAGATCCAGGAGAACACGTTCACACGGTGGTGCAACGAGCACCTCAAATGCGTGCAGAAGCGGGTGGCTAGCCTGCAGGCTGACCTGGCAGACGGGCTACGGCTCATCGCCCTGCTCGAAGTGCTGAGCCAGAAGCCCATGGGCCGCAAGTACCACGCCCGGCCCACCTTCCGCCAGATGCAGCTGGAGAACGTCTCCGTGGCCCTCGAGTTCCTCGAGCGCGAGAATATCAAGCTCGTCTCCATCGGTGCGTGCACGGCGTGGGGCACAGATCGGGGACCCCAGGGGCAGGGGAAGCCAGATCGGGGTCCACTGGAACCGGATCGGGGCTCCTGGGATGAGGGGAGATGGATCGGGCCCTCCTGGGGGGGGAGGCAGGGATCAGGACCCTGCTCCTAGACAGCACTAGGGGGAGAGAGCGGATCAGGTCCCCCTCCAGCCCCCCAGGACCAGGATTGGGCCTCTCCTGCCCTGGTATGGGATGATGGGGAACGTAGACCGGGATCGGGCCCCCTGCCCCCACAAGCCACGCGCCAGGCTCGGGCCGCTGTCCCCGTGGGATGGACGGCGGGATGTGGGGACGGGTCAGCCCCCCCGGATCAGGATCGGGACTCCGACGGGGAGGGGGAGAAAGCCGGTAGCGGGACTGTGGCCGCGGGGCGGGAGCAAGGGTCGCCGCGGGGCTCCCCGGGCAGCGGTAACAAAGCCGGAGGAGGGCGGGGCGGGGGGGG